ACTGCATGTGCAATTCATATCTCATGCATATTTAGTTCATATTGAATGCATGGTACTGGATGCATATTTACTTCATAAATATAATGCATACTATGGGTCAACGGGTCAACGCCGGAAATCAATGGTCAACATTGAAAGTCAACGATTTTTCACCGGAAGTCAACGGTCAACGCCGGAAGTCAACGGTCAACGCCGGAGTCAACTAATAATTATTTTATTATTTAATTAATATATATTTTAAGGAGTGGACTCATTTTAAGGAGTGGATTCATTGGATCCTCCCCCTATATATATATATGAAGGAGAGCATTTGCATGGCTGTTTATTTTTCTGCCGTTTAAAGCCCCCACCCGCGTTAATACGGATGCGGCTCATCCGTTAAAAAAGGTGTTGACATTCGAGTTGGCCAGAAGTAAATCGGACAAAGGCGGCTTCAGAAACTGAAACGGAACCCCGATTAGGTGTGTAACTGCCGAGCTGAATTCGAGACTAAAATGATCACCGCCGCCGCGTGATGCCACTCCTGAGGTCGGCACCCATACCCTCAGAAAGACGGTGCCAACCTCGTTAGGTGCCGAGCTGAGGAAGGAATCCTGATTACCGATTAGACAGGTCGTCATAGCCTGCTACCCTATAGCATCTAGCGCGACCAAAAGCCAGTCAGCATTAAATGCCCACCATGTGTGCATTAAATGTCTGACAAGCAATGATTATGAAAACCTTAAATCCCATTAAATAACTGTCAGAGCGGCGCCGATCTGACCTGCCAAAGTACTGTGCGACAAGACCGGTGAACAGTGCGTCAACAGTGCTACATTTAGGAATACTATAAATAGGAGCTCATTTCATTTATTTTGGTGTTGTTAAATCTTTCAACTACTACTTCCTCTCTAGAACCCTGTAATAAATTCCTGTAATTACTCTCAAGTACAAGAGAAGTGTCGACCTCGTTCACCGAAGGCCGACCTCGTAATTATTTAATAAAATCCAATTAAATCGTATTTCCTCCATGTTTTCTTACTTTCATATTATCATATTTTAACCATTGATCGGATTCATCCATGAACAGTTTGGCGCTAGAGGAAGGGCACCATAAGATGTTTGGTGTCTACATTTCGACTTTGAGGAACTCCACATCAAGTTCACCTTTTTTCTCGCTTTTCCACTTAAAAAGTTAACCAAAAATGACTTCATCCGGTCATGACGAGTCAACCCACCAGTCTGGGGCACAATCTCATCATCGTAATGGCGAGGAGACCTCACACCAGCTTCAGCAGAGGCCCCAAGCCCCAGTCCCACCGGTCCCAACTTTCACTGCAGCAATGCAGCACCCTGACGTTCTCAAAGTCCTCGAAGGGGCCTTTGCCAAGGCACTTGCGAGTCACGCGGCCCGGCCAAACACCGTGCCGCGACCGAAAATCCTGGTCAGAGCAGAAGGCCAGTTCGGTCCAAAACCATAGCTGAATCGCCCAATCGCGAAGCCCAGAACCACCGCGATAAGAGTACAAGGCCGGTTCTAACCAAAAACCAAACAAACGGGCGAAAAGCCACCCCGAACCAAGTTTGCAAATTGTGCGCCGGCCGTACTCCAACGCTTGGGCGACAAAAGCCAGACAAATCGCGACCTCAAAGAGGTCATTGAACGTGGAAAAGCTATAAGGCGCGACTTTGACAAGGTCACGGCCCTAAAGCAGAAAATAGCCGAACTGGAAGCTCGACACCTATCACAAGGGGGACCGTCATTTTTTCCCCCGCCATGGTCAAGTGCCTGCATTGTGGACCACAGTTCTCCCGTCTCCGAATATCCTGCTGGAAGCCGTGCCAGCCAAAATCAAGGTGCCCCAGCTTGGACTTTATGACTGGAGTTCGGATCCAGACTCCCACATAGGCCTTTTCTACACTTCGTGGATGGACCTGTACGACGCGACGGACGCCCTGCGCTGCCGAATGTTCTCTTTAACACTGGGCCTAAGGCGCAGAGGTGGTACCACTCTCTATACCCTCACTCCATCTCTTCGTGGGGGCAGCTTAGATCGGCATTTCGCTCATACTTCATCGGGTCACAGATAAACCTCACCCAAAAGGAGTCAATTACGAATATCGTTCAAGGGCCTGAGGAGAGTCTGAAAGACTACCATTTCTCGGTTCAGCGATCGAGTTCAAAATATGGATACGACGGCTCGGTTGCCAGGTGTCCCAGGTGTGCGACTCACAACAGCCGGAGGATGATGATCAGTCGTGGGGACCAGGTGGTGCGAGCGGAAGAGCCCGAGCGTGGTGGCACAAGGTGCAGTGAACGGGTGCCGCGAGGAGCGCGGCAGAAGCCGACGATCACTGCACAAGGTGCTATAGGGAGACGCTCGCGAGCTTGCCGAAGACTACTCAACGGCGACCGGGCAGGACTCGATGACGGCAACTCAGACTGGCGACACCCCGACAGGGGATACGACAGTGACGCAAGGTCGACAAGAAACAACCGACGTTATTCTGGAAACCAGTTGACTTGAACAAGAAGTCTACTGGAGTATAAATTCTAGTCTGATAAGAAAAATTCAGTTCCAATGGGACATGGACTGAATAGATTTCTAATTCAGCTAGAGTTTTAATTAATGACCATAATAGTGAGATTTATTTCCTGATTACTTTTGTCGTTATTAATTGTTATGCGTGTTTAATTAATTTATTGCTTTGTTGCATGTGATTAATTATTAAAATTGCATAAGTAAAAATCTTCAATTAAATTAACTTAGATTTCTAAGTTGTCTAGGGTTCTCGGATAATATTTCTAAGTCCGGAACTTTGTTTTCTAACTTAACTTGGTCTAACTCCGTTAGAAAAAATACTTAAGTCCCGGTGCACGCTCAGACCAGAAAAATCTCAAACTGGAATTTATCGAATCGTCTGGTTGACTCAGACCGAACCAGTTCGGTGACTGGACTGGCGACTCGCTCGTTAAACAACCGGTCTTTTGTTGGTTTGGTGCAGCACAGCTCGGCTGCGCAGGGTGAACTGGGTGGAAGCTCTCGGCACGCGCAGACCCGTTTGGCGCAGCCTCGCCGGCGCACGGGCAGGATTACTCGGCGATGGTTGTGGCATGGCTGGGGCGCTCGGGCGCGCTGACAAAGAGTGTCGCGGATAACAGGCGCGCGGACATACTCGGACCGCGACTGGAAAGGCGCTGAGCGTCATGCGCAGGGGCGCGGCTCGATCGGACTCGATGCAGGGGCAAGCGCTCGGCCTCAACACGACTACTACAAGGGAGCACGCTGCGACGCGCGTGCTGCGGATGACTCTAGGTGACGGATGACGAAGGACAATAGAGCATGCGCTGATGCGCGTGTTGCGATATGCGTGCAAGCGCGGTGGTCTATGCTATTATGCGCGTAGCGAGACGCTCTGGAAGCTCGCGGGCGCGCGCACTGGCCCTCGGCAATGCTTGCTGCGGCCTTGCCCGGAGACTTCGCCAGCCGACCGACGACCTATTCCGGGAACCCATAGCTAAACTACTCCTTTGGGTTTCTAGAGTCCATATAGGCTATTATGGCTCAAGAAATTATTCACATATATTAAATTTACTCTGCACCTAAAATCTAGTTGAACTAGGGTTCTAGTTCTCCGAGCAAACTAACTCATTTCACTTTGAAACTTTAGGCGTGAACTCATCATGATATATTATGATTTTAGGTGTAACAACTTCAGCAAGAACTTATTCATATCATAACTTAAAAAACTATCAATTTAGGTCATAATATCGATTTTTAGTTCACATATTCAAACAACCTCCAAAAATTCTCAAATTTTAAACATAGGCTCAACACAATATCTAAGAATTTTGGCCAAAATATCCCAGCATTTACTCGCACATAACATAGACTTCAAGAAATTGCCGATCCAAGTCAAAATCTCGATTTTTAGTTCACCTAGCAAATGACTTCCAAAAATCCTCACATTTTAATCGCAACCTAACTTAAATTTCATTAAATAGACGATTTAAGTAAAATCTTCAATTTTGAGTTACCCTAGCAAATGACCTCCAAAAACCTTCAAATTTTATACATAGGCTCAGCACAATATTTAAAAATTTTAAGCTACAGATCTCAACAAGTACTTGCACATAACATAAACTTCATGGAGTTGCCGATTTAGGTATATATCTCGATTCTTAGTTCACCTAGCAAACAAACTCCAAAATCCTAAAATTTTAACCTCGGTCTCTACACATTATTTCATGATTTTAGGAGTTGAAACCACATTTTTATCTCTCATGCATTTTTAAAGACGAAAATTAAGCAATAAATAGAATAATTTCTTTATTTCTTAAATCATTCATATTTTTCTTGGTTTCCTGAATTTTAGTATTTATAAATCATGTCTAAGCCATAAGAGGGGGTTTAAGCTTGCCTACCTTTTTCGGGACTCGAAAATAGAAAATGAAAAGTCACGGGAGCTCTCGGTGGCTAGAGCGCGTGCGTGCGGGTGGCTCGACTTCCTTGGGTGCGTGTGTGGCTGGGGCCTCCTGAGACGTGCAGCTGGGAGCTAATGTGTGTGGGATCTAGGCCTTCAGACGTGGGCTGAAGTCCTCGGTCTTTTTTTTTTTACAATATTTGTAGAAAGCTAGATATATAATTTATGTTAAATATTGAACAACATTGCAATTTCTAAACTTTAGATGAAAAAGTTTAGCATCGAATGCGAATTTGCGTTTTGACGAGGAGAGAGAAAGCACGAAATGGATTTTGCGGTCGAGAGTGGGCAACATTTTCCTCACATTTTGCTTTATGTGTGTCGGTTGGAGAGGGTCTTATGTGTTTGTTATTTAGTCGAGAGAACATATAAATATTTAAGATTTCACAATACTTTTGTTTAGTTCACATGTATTGTGGAATGTAATTGAACTATATAATGTTTATAGAGTATTTAAAGACCGAAAGGAGCCCATTTCGACAGAAGATCATTCACAGAAAATGGTAATTCCCTCCATATTTATTAATTTTTAGATATATGTAAGAAAATTGAACATACATACTGTGTATATTCTTGGAAATCCAAGACTGATCCATATTGATAAATTAAACAAGGCATACTAAAAGAGTACTCCGTAGAAATGCAGACGAATTAAGTCTATTAAAAATTCAAACATGCATAGTAAATTCCTAACAATAGATTTGTAAATATGAATATGTATATATATATATTGTTAACCCCATTGATGGTTGCCCAAAGATGGAAGAAAGTCGGTAAAAGCAGCAGAAGGTTGATTGTCAAAGAATGGATTATGGTGAGGTGGAAAAAACATAGGGTTTCGGTTTTGATCATCATCAACGATAGCAGTTGAATTGAAGGTGGTATTGTTATGGATAAAAGGGATTTCGGGAAGAGAGTCGAGTTTGGTTTGAGACATTGAGGCATTGACAGTGTGAATGTCGTGAATGCTTGGGCGCCGCCTGTCAGCTGGGGTGGAGCTCGTTTGACGCCTGAAATACTTTTGCGCATGGCTTGCAACTTGAGTCGGGGTTTTTGTGATCACATAATACCTTGAAATACTCCTCCAGTCTCCTTTCCCATATTTGTTCAGTCCCATAAGGAACAACCTGTACAAAAATTAATAAATGCTTTAGCTATTTTTTATTTCTTTTTTTTTTTCTTTCTTTCTTTCTCTATGCCTTTTTTCAAGTCAAGATGATGAACCATAAAATGTGCAAAAAAATAATTAAAGGTGAGTATTTATTGCATTCATAGGATGGCGACACACAAAATCCAAACCAAGTAAATGCTATAGACTTCCATGACTACAAAAATAGTGCAAAAGCATTGAAAAAATAATAATAATTAATTAGCACGTAACGTATGTGTAATTTCATTATTGTATAATGGATTGGCATTATCCATGTATATAATCATAATGCTAGAAATATTAATTTATGAAGAAGTAGAGAGAGATGTACTGATGTTCTTCTTCAGTCCATGGAACACCCCTTCGCCTTTGTTGGCCGTTTCTTGATTTAGGTTCATTTGATGGAGAATCTCTTTCGTCCTTGTTGCCCTCGTCTTGTTGTTGATCAGCTTGTTTGTAGTCGGGAATTGGAATCTCTCCAGTTTCGATCATTTTCAGATCTTCAATCAATGCTTCATAATGCTTCTTGATATCTTCAATACTCTTCCAAGGAATTTTTGATGCGACATTCTCGAAGAAAGCTGGAGAACCAGGCTCGATTTCGGCTAAAGCAACCTCGAACAACTTGTTTTCTTCATATGTCCATCCCATCGGTTGATTCATTTCAAACTGGTTTGGAAATATTCCATGCAAAGTTTCTTCTAAAGGAGAATACTGAAAATCTGGCCATTCCATTTTTCTTTTATTTTTTTTTCTTTTCTTTATGTGTGTGTGTGTGTGTGTGTGTGTGTTTGTTTCTAACCAATGCATATTTATAAGGAGGGGCATGACATTAAGACAAATGTATATGGTCTTCCTCAAAAGTTAAACAAAAGTCAATTGATGAGGTATTACATCTTTTATTATTATTAAATCCAGGATGATCTTTGTGGATATTTAATTTGGTTGGACTATAGATACATCATTTTACAAATGGTGAACTGGTGTAGAAGAACTTCTTTTCTTTTAGATTTTTTTTCTTGAATAATTATATATATATAATATATATATTAGAAATATGCCAAAAACTTTGTGTGAAAAAGTAATATTAGATTACATAAAGGCATAGCTTAAGGAAAATAAAATTAGCGTTGTGATATAGTAAATGACATCCATTTCACATAGTAAGAACATACTTCGATAAAATTACATAATAAGTGAATGTACATGGCGATAGATAGGTCTATAAAATTGGGTGAAAAGTCACGTGCCTCTTAAATGGTCGCACGTGACTTATCATGGAAAGTCGTGTGCCTCATAATTGGTCGCACGTGATGATACCAAATAACGAGGGTCCACCTTACATTTATGCCATTGATATATGCAAGTCAAATTTTTGCAACATTATGTAAATCTTTTTGGCTTCGAATAGGATTCAAAATCCATATAAATGTAACGAAAATAAATGTTAAAAAAATATTAATTATGAAAACTCATTCATCACTAATGGGTTCGTCCAACATTTAATTTTAACTTCCTTGCTTGCATTATGGAAAATACTTGTTTGCACTGAGTGGCCCACAACATAACCAACATTAAATACAAAATGTAAATTGACATAAATGTGGTTGTTTGATAATATATAAGACTTGTTGTATTGTTGTGTCTTTAAATTTGAAAAATAGTTGTCAAAGTCCTTATAGTCAAAAAGACAAGTGTCAGTAAAACCAAGGTAGAGAAGTTGAAGCTTTTACATGAGTACCATTTACTAAAGAAGATTCCTTAAATTTTATTAGAAAATATGCGACTTCCGGTACAACAAAGGATGTAACGCTATACATTAAAATCAAGTTCGATGTACAAATATTTTTTTGGCAAAATTAAATGACATCATTGTTTGTTGTCATAGGGCTTATTGCTCTAATCTGGATTACTAAATACCGCCTATTTTACAACTTACCGCCAACTTAAAAGATAATTTTGCCCTTTGACTTGAAAAAAAATGAAAATAACAAAAATTCACTTACCAAAGCCGCCCGCCCATTCAATCTGCACAAAATTCCCAAAAAAAAAAGAAAAAGAAAAACCACTTAAACCCTTCCAAAAATCCAAAAAAAAAAA